TCAGCACCTGGCAGTAGCAGACACTCTTGTATGTGTTCTGGGCTCACTGCTGGTCACATGCAAAGCATCTCCCTGCTCCAGACCACGAGGCCTTTCCCCTGGGCAACTTAGTACACTTTATCACCAACGGTGACCGACTACACTAGCAGGTCAAATTCAGCCCACCAACTGATTCTGCCAATAAAGTTTTATTGGAACACCACCATACTCATTGGTTTACATACTGTCTGTGACTATTTTCATGCATCAGCAAAGTAGAGAAACTGCAACAGAAACCATGTGGCCAGAAAAACCAACAATAGCTACTTGCTGCCCCTTTACAGAAAAAGTTTGCTATTGCCTACTTTAGGTATTTACAGTCTCTTCGAATCCAAGGTAATGGCTTCATTTGGTTGCTGTAAGCATCCAACAGGTGAATCCACACAAGGTCCTTAGAACCAGGCACAGGGCAGGGGCTCCCTGAATGTTAGCAGGAATTGTGGGTTGCCATGTGCTTTTTCTAGGAGCATACCCATGAGTATGTTTTTGTTTTTGTTTTGTTTTGTTTTGTTTTGTTTTGTTTTTTGTACCAGGGATCAAACTCAGGACCTTGCACTTGCAACGAGGGCAGCGGAAACACTGAGCTAAATCCCCAGCCCCATGAGTATTTGTTAATTGCACAAATCGGATGTTTTCTGCTCCTCAGAACTAATTTTGGCACCAAGACCACACCAGCCTCCGTGGGAACTCAGGACAATATGTGGGGGAAGTTGTGTTTGGACTGAAGGGGAAGGGACCTCAGAAATATCCAGAGTCAAGGACCGGGGATGTACCTCAGTGGCACCGCACTGCCTCGAAAGCACAAGGTCCTGAGTTCTGTCCCAGGTACCAAAAAAAAAACCAAAAAAACAAATCCAGAATTGGTCAGTCTATGCCTAGCATCAGATGTGCTGCAGATATTTCTCAATTTAATCTTTATAGTGGGGGCTCTTAGACTTCCACATGCACACAAATCTTGTTACAGGCACCTTGCTGAACCATGGTTTCTAATTCTGCAGATGCAGGGTGGGGCCTGAGGGTTGCATTTCCCACCAGCCCTCTGTGCTGCTGCTCTCTGGACTGAGCTAGGAGCAACAAGGCCTTCTGACAGGGCTGGGAACTGGCATTATTATCACTGCTCCCATTCTGCAGGATGAGAAACTGAGGCTCAGGCAGGTAATGACCCTTGTCCAAGGGTCCATAGTAAGAGTCAAAGCCCCAGTTCTAGCTCAGGGGTGACCAACTCCCAAGTCCTCTTTCAGTCTGTGACACAGTGCAGCTAGAAAGCCCTCCCTCAAGACTCCCCACCTCCCCAGAGGTGCCCACCTACTCTTAACCACTTCCTTCCCAGCCTGGAGCAGGGCGCATGGTCCAGCCTCCTAGCCACAGTGCTGCCCCCATCATCCTCTTTCTGGGCAGGGGAAGGGCTCTCTCAAGAGAGACTGAACCAGGCATGGAGGAGCACTCCTGTAATATTAGCACCCTGGGAGGTTTTGAGCCCTACCTGGGCAACTTAGTGACTTAGGGAGACTGGCTCAAAATAAAAAAGGGCTGGGGTGTAGCTCAGTGTAAAGGCCCTGGGTTCAATACCCAGTTCCATAAAAAAAAGAAGGGGTGGATTGGGACCAGCTATACTGGCACAGGGGCCTGTGCTCGTGTCCCCAGGGCTACCACCACATAGAGGATATGGGAAGATGTTTCCTGCCTTCTGAAGCAGTTGCATTTCCTCCACACTATCCTGTGCCGTCTGCAACCAGCTGTCCCCCCCACCCCCACCTCTCCCCATCTCCTCTGCACACATCTCACTGCATGTGTGCGCACACATGCCTGCACACAGCACCCCAGCCCCAACCTCCCACCCCTGCTGCCTGCAGGAAGGCTGGGCTGAGCCTCCAGTTCCCAGCTGAAGGGCCTGAGTGGGAGCGTCAGGCCCCAGGCTGCAGTGAGGCCTTCATTCAGAAAAGCGCAGCTGGGTCTGGCCCAGGCAGCACGCGGAGGCAGGAAGTCCTCCCTTGGCTCTGCACCTATAGCAGCTACTGAGGCCCTTAGGAGTCACACCGTGCCCTCTTTCTTCCTTGGTGCTGGCATTTTTGCCACCTAGCCAGAAACCATACCCATATGGAGAGGGCAGAACCAATGGAAACCAGAGAGGGTGAGGCACCTGCCTTCCCGCACAGCAAGTAAGCGACACTGCAGGGACCCAATTCCAGCTCTCCAGACCCTTCAACACCCTCCCTAGGAGCCTAGGAAGCCACACGGCATGAGATTATATAATGGTAGGTTAGGCAGGGCCGCGAGCAGACACAGGGTGGGTGCTTGCCAAATATCTTCTCTCTTCTCCTGGGTTTTCAGTAAGATCTCACCACTTGCACGCAGTTGTAAATTTGAGAATCAGGGCAGCTGTTAGCGGTGCCTGTGCATACCATGTACCTGGGCTGGGTGTCAGGTCGGGGCTAGAGCGCATTGTCTTAAATAACTTGCAGGGAGAGAACATCTTCCTTGGGTCTAAGGAGGGGACATCCTTGTCACTGTGAGGCTGAGGCAGCAGGGTGAACTAACCACCCACCTGCGCCCTTAGCCTCCAACGAGTATCTGCAGCCGGCTTTAACCCCTACGCATGCGCGGGGTATGGACCCCCGCCCTTCTCCATGCCCCTCTCCTACCAAAAAACGTGTCCACTTTCTAAACAACCGTAGACTCTACTACAGATAGGAGTGGAGACACGTATGTCACAGAAAGCTACCTAAATTCTTCTTAAAAAAGTCTAAGTAGAAAGTGATCTTCTTGGGCCGCGGATTTAGCTCAGTGATTCCGTTGCCTGCCTCACAAACGCAAGGTCAAGTGATCTTCTTGCCCATCCTTGATCCTTTTGGGTATTCTGCCACCCAAAGAGCGGCGGAACCCAGGGGATAAGAGGAAATCCTGATTCCTGGTGCCTTTACCCCTGAAATGCCTCCCGGCCAATCCCTGGGCTCTGCCAAAAGGCCCTGTGGCTGGTAGGGCTCAGCTTCCTTAGAAGTCACTCAAACCACCAAAACTGTCCCTGCCAGGTCACAGCTCCCTGGAAGGGACAGAGAGTCAGCAGGGGTCCCAGCACCCCTCCTACACTGCCTGTGTGGATTTGGGTAGAAAGAAACTATTTTACTTCACAAAGACACTTTGTGGAGGTCCCCAACTCTGGTCCTCGTTGCAACACGGCTCTCCCACAAACACACCCAGATCACCGCCCCTCCGCCTTTCCCATCTGCCTCCCCGGTGTCCGCTTCCCACAGTGCTGCCAGCCAGATACTCTATCCGTGCTCTCTTTTCCTTCAAATATTCTTTTCCTAGCCAGGCATAATGTCGTGGGCTTGTAATCCTAAGACTCTGGGAGGCTGAGGCAGGAAGATCACAAGTTAGAGCCCAGACTGGGCAACTTAGCTGCTTAGCAAGTCTGTCTCAAAAATCTAAATAAGCAAATAAACAATGAGGTGGGGGGTGCTCAGTGCAAAAGCCCTGGATTAAATTCCTAGTACTGCCAAAAAAAAAAATCTTTGGCTGAGCTGGGGATTTAGCTCAGTGGCACCGAAGCTGCCTCACAAGCCCAAGGTCCTGAGTTCAATCCCTGGTACCAAAAAAAAAAAACCTTTTGCCAGGTGGGAATGTGGCTTAGTGATGGAACACTTGCCTTGCATGTACAAGCCCCTGGATTCTGTTCTCCACACTATAAAAAAAAATAAAATTAAGCCAGGTGTGGTGGCTTATGCCTATAATCCCCAAACTCGGGAGGCTGAGGCAAGAGGGTTACTTCAAGTTCAAGGCCAGCCTGGGATACACAGAGAGTTCAAGGCCAGCCAGAACTACATAGCGAGACCCTGTCTCAAAATAAAATAAAATAAAATAAAATAAAATAAAATAAAATAAAATAAAATAAAATAAAATAAAATAAAATAAAATGTTCTTTTCTCTTCTCTCCTGATGATCAGCCCCTCCTTCTTGTCCTGAAGTCTTTTGGGGGGGGGCTCTGTTTTTCACTTTCTCTTTTTTTTGTAATGCGCCCATTTCCTCCCCCATCTGTCTCAAATCTAAATAAATAAATAAACAGTTGGGTTGCTTTGCCTTCAATAATAAGCTTGTATTGGGAGCTTACTATGCCTGTGGGTAGAATAAAAATATGATAAAATTTTTAAAATATGAAAAGAAAAAGCCACAGTACTTGCCTCACGGGACCTAGGGTTCATGGTGGAAATATACATAAAAACAAGTATTTATTATAATAACTATCATTTGTTGCCCCAGGAACATTTTTATAAATGCATTATCTGCATCAACTCGTTTAATCCTCACAACAGTCTTAGGAGATCAGCACTATCATCATCCCTGCTTTACAGAAGAGGAAAGTGAAGCACAGAGATGTAAGAAAACTTTTCCAAACTTAAATGGCAAATAAATGCTAGAGCCAGATTCAGCTCCAAACCAGGTGGTCCCCCTGACCACTACCCCACACTGCCTCTCCCTGTGCCCAAGTGCCCCAAGCCACAAAGCAGAGAGCAGTAGCATAAGTCAGGGAAGGCTTCACAGAGGAGGGGACTTGGAGCTGGGTTTCAACGGATGAGTAGAAGTTTGCTGAGTACAGAACAGGAAAGATTCCGTTAAGAGAGCCTAGTATGGTAACAGTCAGCAGTGTGCAATGACATGGCTTGGGAATTTTGCTAAGCTGGACAAGCAGGAATATGAGGACCAGGAGGCATGAGACTGAAGGAGACAGAGGCCAAGTCACAGGGCCCTGCGTGACTGGTGAGGTGCTAGAATCTGGTCCTGGAGGTCGTGGGGACCACTAAAGGTGGGGAGGTGCAGCAGCTTGCCCTCCTTCCCTCCCTCCTGGCATTGCTAGGCAACCTGGACTCCCAGCTGTGTCCATGAAGGTGGCTCCCAGGCCGCCCTCAGCCTCCCCACTGTCTCACCACTGCACCCCTCTCTCCCTGCCCCTCCATGTTCTGCAGGGGCCGTGAGGGCCTCGAGCATCTTCCCGATCCTGAGCGTGATTCTGCTGTTCATGGGCGGCCTCTGCATCGCAGCCAGCGAGTTCTACAAGACTCGGCACAACATCATCCTGAGCGCCGGCATCTTCTTCGTGTCTGCAGGTAGTGGCCACCAGCCGGGTGGGCTGTGGGAAGGGAGCCCCCAGGCTCAGGGCTCGGGGGACCTGTGCAGGCCTGGCAGATGGAGGGTCAGGCTGGGGTCCTGCCCTTGAGCTCCTGCCAAGTCCTCCAGGGACCTAACACAGACTCCCCTCCTGTCCCCTGGAGAAAGGCCAGCACCTGGGGGCCCCTAGAGCCTCCACCTCTCCAGTACAAGTAACTGGATGAGGGACAGGGGCATCAAAGGCCCCACCCTTGCAAGATGCCAGCTCCAGGCCGGGAACCACAGGGCTCCCTCCCCTCACTGTCCCAGCTGGATGGCAGCAGGCGGCCCCTCTGCCAGGTGGCTGAGCCCAGTTTCATGGAAAGTCACACTTCCCTCGGATGCCACAAAAGGAGCAGGGCCTGTAGCATGGGCCGTTGAGTAGGACTGGATGGCATCTCAGGGGCACCTGAGTCAGCAAGAGTAGGCACTGGTACCCACTCACCTAGCCCTCTCCACAAGGCTGTCATCACCCCAGCTTACAGATGAGGAAACTGCAACTAAGATTAACTTGTCAGTGGCTCTGAACCTCAGCCGTAAGCCCTGCTGCACCAGCTCCGGATCTCTGTGCTGCTTGAGCAACTTGCTTAACCTCTCTGTGCTTCTGCATCCTCACCTGTAAACTACTTATAAAGCACTTAGGCAAGAAGGCAGATAGTAAATGCTTAGTCAACAGTGTCTGCTACTTTATTATTCCTAGTACTTGGTGGGCCATAGAAGGCCTCTCTCTCCCCTCCCCTCTTCCCATGTCTGTCTCCATTAGCCCAGCCTCCATGGCTCTCTCCGTGTGGTCTGATAACATAGTAAGTCAGAGCTTCCCAGGCGTCCCCTATCCAGGGGCCTCTGTCCATCCAGTCCATCCAGCGATCCCCACCCTTTCATGCTGCCGAGTAGCACCATCCCCAGGAGAACCAACTTCTCTGCTGTCCCTACTGCAGGTCTGAGTAACATCATTGGCATCATCGTGTACATATCTGCCAATGCCGGAGACCCCTCTAAGAGCGACTCCAAAAAGAATAGTTACTCCTACGGCTGGTCCTTCTACTTCGGGGCCCTGTCCTTCATCATCGCCGAGATGGTCGGGGTGCTGGCCGTGCACATGTTTATCGACCGGCACAAACAGCTGCGGGCCACGGCCCGCGCCACGGACTACCTCCAGGCCTCGGCCATCACCCGCATCCCCAGCTACCGCTACCGCTACCAGCGCCGCAGCCGCTCCAGCTCTCGCTCCACCGAGCCCTCTCACTCTAGGGACGCCTCGCCTGTGGGCATCAAGGGCTTCAACACCCTGCCGTCCACCGAGATCTCCATGTACACGCTCAGCAGGGACCCCTTGAAGGCCGCCACCACACCCACCGCCACCTACAACTCCGACAGGGACAACAGCTTCCTCCAGGTCCACAATTGTATCCAGAAGGAGAACAAGGACTCTCTCCACTCCAACACAGCCAACCGCCGGACCACGCCCGTATGAAGACCGCCCGGTGGCCGGTGGCTGGTGGGTGGCCCGGGCCAGCGGGAGGGACCCGGGGCCCAGGAGGAGGCGTGGCCCACGGGCAGGGACAGGGCCACCCACAGGGAGACCTTCCCAAAGCAAAACACACACACACACACACACACACAAAACACAAAAAACAAAAAAAGAGAAAAACATAACAAGTAAATTTTAAAAAAAGAACAAAATATAAGAGGAACAAAGACGTAAAACAACAGGGAATGGGGGAAAATATAAACGAAGGAAGACAAACTTTAAAACAAAGCAAGAGGGATTAAAAAATTAACAATAGAAAATAAATCTAAAAGAAAATGCATGATTTCCCATGTACCATTATTTTAACATTTAATAAAAACCAATTTAAATGAAAACCATAAAAGGGAACCAAGATAATATTAAAACAAAAAAAAGGAAAAAAAGAAAAAGAATGGAAAGGAAGAGGGATGACCTTTGTATTTATTAGGGTTTTGTGTTACCATTTTTTATTTGTTTGTTTAATGGGGAGAGTTTCAAAATTAACAGTATTAACAGTATTCTCTCTGTTCCCTTGAACCCCGGTGGGCCCCGCCTCCCTGGGAGAGTGGGGGGCGGAGACTCAGGGCCTGTGGTGGAGTCCAGGCCCCTGGAAGCCCTGGGAGGGGCCCCAGGAGCCAGCTGCCCCCAGCACTGACGGGGCAACTGTAGGCCCCTGGGTGGCCTGAGTTCCCGGTCCCTCCTGTACGCTAGGTGCCTCGGGGAGGGGGGGGGGGATGCACCTGGGGCTCTCCCAGCCCCTGGTTCCCAGTCCTTAATGGTCCTAACCCACTGTGATGACTTCCTAGGCCTTGAGGAAAGGGAAGGAGAAGGGATGGCTGCCGTGGGCTTACAGAGATGCCGGACACCCCGGAATTCTCAGGGTGAGCCTTTTGGGATCACCATCCCCAAGCTCCTGTCCTTGGGGTCGGGAGATGCCCACCCCTCCCTGGGGGGAGATAAAGCAGCTCTCCCTCCTCACCCCTCACCTCAGGGCCACGTGATGACCCTGGGGTGATGCCAGACCCTCAGACTCATGGGCCCCCTACCCCCTGGGAAAGGGGCTCTTTGACCCCCTTAGGGGTCCTTGGACTCACTGACGCCCTCTCAGGGCCCAGGGTCCAACAATGACATTGCAAAAAGGTTTCTTTTTACAAAAGAAAAAGGAAAAACAAGTGGTGATTTTTTTTTTTAAATAAAAAAACCACAGACTATAAATAAATGTAAATATATAATAAGTGGATTTACTTGCAAGAAAATCAGATAGTATTTTTCTTTTAATTCTTTTCCAGCTTTAAACTGTGAAAAACAAAACAATAGGGTGGGTGGGGGACTTAAAATTTAGCAGGGAACTTCTAAAGACAAAACAGAAAACAATTATACAAATCCATTAAAAAAACAAAACAGATGGAGAGATGCAAGCTGGGCTTAAAGCCAGAGGGAAAAGAGTAAGGCCACAGCCAGCTGCAGGGAGCCTGCTGGAAAGATCGCTTCCTTCTACTTGGAAGGTGCTGCCAATGTGGGAGAGAAAGAGACCACATGCCCACCCACACCACAGCTGCACACGTAGCCACACAGCCCAGCAGTGCAACCGCTCATGGGGGTACTCTCGGTCTACAGCCGAGAAACTGACTTACGCCCTCCAAAGCCATTGTTGACAACACCACAACACCACCCTGGCCTTTATGTCCCCCTGTGGCCCTCACTACACACACACACACACACACACACACACACACACACACACACACACACACACACGCATGCACGCACGCAAGCACGCACACGCACACACACATGCAGACCATGCTCATGTGCATGGCCAGGGCGCTGGGGCAGAGTCCAGCCCTGGATTCAGCACTTCCTCACTGTGTGGCTCCTCCGGCCTCCATGTCCCCCCATGTACATGTACAGACCAACCCAGACATGCTTAGAAAGCCCGATCTTGCTCTGTGTATCTGTGACTTTTAGGATCTGCCACCTGCCCAGAGCAAGATGCCAGGGATGACCAAATCAGCTGACACCGAGCTCCAGTGACATTGAGAACGTTCCCAAACCATCAGTTGGCCTCTCTCTCCCTCCCTCTCTCTCTCTCTCTCACACACACACACACACACACACACACACACACACACATGCACGCACACGTACACACCTCCCATATGGCTCCTCACTGTGCTCCCCAGCCCCTGTCCCCACATCCAACATTAAAGCAAAAAGACACACACGTGAGCTAACGTATCCTGCCATTCAGACACAGAGGGGAAAGACACATAGGTTCGCAAAGCCGCTCTTCATTTTGTGTCCCCTTTCTTTAATACCATGGCCCCATCAGAGAGAGGGAGGGAAGGAGGCTTCCTTGAGAGAAGAGATTGGTCCCCAGGGTCTCCTACTGTCTTGGGTGAGGTCAGACGAAAAGATCCTCCAAGGGTTTCAAGGAAGGGTTCTGCCCCTCTCTCCCTCCCTCCCTCCC